GAGATGCGAAGTAAGGAAAAGGGAATTTCCTTACACTACCCCCCCCCCTCTTAAAAGGTCCTCCTTACGAAAGCGCGTGGACGTCTTTGAAGTTTCGGCTGCGTAGATAGTCGGTGACGACAGGGTGGTTTTCAATTCTGTCCAGGGGAACCCAGTTGTCCTCGGTGGGTGTACGATCTTTCCAGCGAATCACAAACTCAACTTTTCGGGCCCCTCGAGGGTCGCGAACTCTGTGGCTCAAGATTTTGTCGGGGGTGATGACTGGTTCGGTTGGTGGTCGTGACATGCTGGATGGTCGATGTCGTGGGAGTTGGCTGGTGGATGGTACGTAAGGGCGAAGCAGGCTGACGTGGAACGAGGGGCTGACGTACCAGTCAGCAGGAAGGAGGAGGTGCGCGGTGACAGGTGTGATCATGTGACTGATTCGAAATGGCCCACAGTATCGAGGGCGGAGTTTGGGAGTGATGGGCAGGCGGAGGTTCTGAGTGTCGAGTAAAACGAGGTCGTCAGGCTGATAAGTGACCGGTCTGCGGTGGCGATCGGCGTTGCGTTTAGCGATGATATTTGATTTTTTAATTGCTTCTGCTGCCCTGGTCCGTGCTGCTTGCAAAATCTCGGCGAACTGTTGTGCGCGTGGAACGGGATTGTCGGGGTTTGGTGTCATGGGTACTGTTGGGTTCTGTCCGTAATTCAATTAGAATGGCGACTGTTGGGTCCTGGCAGATGGCGCGTTGTTTTATGCGAACTCGATGAGAGGCAGCTGCTGCTCCCACGTGTTTGGATCGTCACACGTGGCTCGAATGAGTTGCTCCATAGTCTGGTTTGTCCGTTCTGTCTGTCCGTCGGTTTCGGGGTGATACGATGAACTGAATTGAAGTCGCGTGCCGAACTGCTGCCACAGGTTCCGCCAGAAATTACTGGTAAACTTCGTGTCCCTGTCGCTGATGATTGACGCTGGTATCCCGTGCAGTCGAACGACGGTGGCGATGAAGAGTCGGGCTGTTTCCTCGGCTGTGATTGATTTCCTGCATGCTGCGAAATGTGCCATTTTCGTTAGTCAATCGACGACGACCAGGATCGCGTCATTCCCACTCGCCCCGGCCGGTAACCCCGTGACGAAGTCCATCGTCACCTGCTGCCAAGCACGCTCTGGAGGTGGGATTGGTTGTAATTGTCCTGCCGGCCGCTTCCTGGTTGACTTCATGAGTTGGCAAGTGGGACACGATGCCACGTGTCGTTGCACGTCGGTCAACATTTCCGGCCAGTAATAGTACCGCTGCAGCTGCTGCCATGTTTTTTCTACTCCGAAATGTCCCGAGGTAACTCCGTCGTGTGCCTCCTGTAACAGTAGTTCCCGTAGTAGCGTGTACCCTGGTACCCAGATGCGGTCGGATCCAGCTTTTACGTAATAGACCCCCTTGGCTGCTGCGAATTGCTGTGAATTTCCTCCTGTGAAGAATGGGTCTGTTTGATATCCGTGGGTAAATAGTCCTGTCAGTAACGGGCTGGTCTGGGCGAGTAGTATCGCATGGATTTGGGCAGTGGGGCGGGTCAGTGCGTCGGCGATATTCGAGGCTCCTTTTTTATATGTGACCGTATAGTGGAATTTCGACTCGAGGAAGTCGAGCCACCGAATCTGTCGTGGGTTGAGGTGGGGCTGTGCGCGAAGGTACTGTAGGGATCGATGGTCTGTCCGTACTTTCACGTCTGCGCCGGTCAAGTAGCAGCGCCACACTTTGAAGGCATGCACGATCGCGAGCATTTCGCGGTCGTGTATCGGGTAATTTCGCTCAGGTGGATGTAGCTTGCGTGATTCGTAGGCGATGGGTTGGAGGCCGTTGCCGAAGTCCTGTAACAGTACTGCTCCGATGGCGATGTCACTTGCGTCTGTAACCACTTCGAAGGGGCGGTGTGGGTCAGCGATGCGTAGGACGGGTGGTGAACAGAGAACATCTTTCAGGGCAAAGAAGGCAGCATGCTCTTTCTCCCCCCACGTAAAAAGGACCCCCTTACGCAGTAAATCAGTGAGCGCGCCATGTCGGGGACGAACCGACGAACGTAATTAACAAACCCTAAAAAACTCTGTAGTTCCGTGATGTTCGTCGGGGGATGCCACGCTTTTACGGTATCCAGCTTCTTAGGGTCTATCTCAACCCCAGCCTCCGAAATGACGTGACCTAAAAACTCTAGCCTGTCCCGAAAAAACTCGCACTTGGAGCCCTTGGTGAGTAACCGATGTGCCTCTAAAATTTTAAAAACTGCTTCGAGATCTACTAAGTGCTGCTGCTGGTCCCGACTGTAAACGAGGATGTCGTCGAGGTAAACTATGACGCATTTATCTAAAAGTGGCCTAAACGCCTCGTTCATGGTCATCTGAAATGTTGCAGGCGCGTTGGTCAGCCCGAAAGGCATCACTGTGTACTCGAATGACCCGTACCTAGTCCTAAATGCTGTCTTGGCGCAGTCTGATGGTTCGACCCGAATTTGATGGTAACCTCCCCGTAAGTCGATTTTCGAAAATACTCGTGCGGTTCGTAGCTGGTCGATCAGTTCGTCGGCGCGGGGGATGGGGTATCGTGATTTTACTGTTACCCTGTTAAGCGCTCGATAGTCGATGCACATGCGAAACCCCCCGTCTTTTTTCGGTGTGAACAGTATCGGTGCGGCGAACGGTGACGAGCTCGGTCGGATAAACTGCTTCTCTAACAGGTAATCTAACTGCTTCCTTAGCTCGTCGAGCTCAGGCTGTGTCAGTCGAAATTGGCGCTGTACAGTTGGCTGTGCCCCCGGTTCTAACTCGATCCTATGGTCATGCGCCCGCTGAGGTGGCAGCCCTTGCGGTAAGTCATCCGGAAAGATACCCGGGAACCGTTTCAGTAGTGCCTGTAGTTCGGGTGGTACGGCTGCCAACAGTTTCTGCAAATCACTCGGCCGGTCCTCTTTTTCCACTAATACGATATCCACTGCGTACACGTCAGCTCCAGCAGCGACAGCCCGTTTCATCGTGATGGCGTTGACCTGGACCGTCGAAGACTCGGGTGGCTGCCAGCGAGGTAGGACGACCCAGTTACCACTACTTCGCACTGTGCAGCTACCCGTCGTCCAGTCAATTCGTGGGTTATACCGTCGCAGCCAATCACGTCCCAATAAAATGTCGTGCCCATCCAGTGTCGTTGCGAGCATTTCCTGTGTAAACCCGAAGTTCCCTCCGCAGCGGACCTTTACCCTCTCCACCTTTTCCCGTATAGCCAGTGGCGTGCCGTCGACTAAGCGTGCATCTATCTCAGGTAAGCATCGGTTAAGTGTTAACTGTAATTTCCGTGCGGTTGCGGTATTAACTAAGCTGTGACTTGCTCCTCCGTCAATAAAAATCTTCACTGCTGCTCCCTGTATTTTCCCGTAGATTAGTACCGGGCAATCCGTCGCTCCAGGTGACAGCTGGACCCGAGGGCCCTTCCTCGTGCGACGGTGGCTCGTAGGCGCGTGGCGACGTCACGATGACTCGCCACCAGTCCATGGCGGGGCCTCTTAGCAGTGAAACCGCATACCGGATCTTTGCGGCGTCCGACTCGACGTAATTGGCGTCGAAGAAAACGTTCATCGTGAAGACCCACGATTGAACTGTCGGACCGCCGCGTTGACTTGGGTCGAAGCAGGGCGGGCGTTGCGGCTTGAGCGGCATTGGTGCCATGTTGGGTTGTTCGCCACTTGTCGCTGCAAATTCCACGTGCCGACGGACTTCTCGAGGCTCCCGTGGGCTTGGTGCGATCCTGTTTCCTCCCATGCCAGGCATCGGCTGGGCGGCGCCCTCACTGGCTGCGCCTGAGCGTTGTCCCGTGCTGTCGTGTTGTGTTGGTGTGCCGGACGAGATGATGATCGGCTCATCCGAACGTGCAGATGCGTTTGTTGGTGCGTGGGATGTCGTCGGTACGTTCATCGTGGATTGTTGATGGGCGGAGTCACGTTCCGCCGTGAGGGTCGCGATTTCAAGCGCCGAATCCTCCAGTTGACGCACGAGACGATCAAGTTGCTCCTGCGTCAATGTGGCGAGCGTGAAATCGGCCATGGCGGGGGTGTCGGGCAAGCTCAGCGAGAGCCTCGGTCGTGGCCGTGCGTGCTTGCGAGAGAGCACTACGAGCGGCGGTGCTGTATCGCTGAGAGACGACTACCCCCCCCCAAAAATTGAGATAGTGGGGAAGTGAAGCTGTGGATGCGGTCCGAGATGGGATCGTAGGCTCTGAATACCAAGTGTTACGAGTGCAATTGAGTGAACGAACGAGAATTGCACTATCGAAGCAAGAGTACAATGAGCGAATGTATGAGCGAAGAATGTATAGCGAAACTACAGTGGTAACGGTAATGGTCGCGCGACGAGCCTGGGACTGAGGTTGGGAACGTGTCGAAGCGTAGGCCCGGAGCGCGGGTTACCAGCCGAGCCGTGAGGTCGGGATGCGATGTGCGAAAATGGCGGGATGATGAATGATGCGATGGTCGCGAGTGGTAACGGTGCTGACTGAGGTGCTACAGTGATGTACGCGTTGAGCAGAGATGCGAAGTAAGGAAAAGGGAATTTCCTTACAATACCTGATGTGTTGTACTTGGGGAAATCCCGGATTCAACGAACATAGCTCTAGCCTGATTGGGCACAATTGTTTTCCCGAAACTCAACGCGAGCGCATTACCATTTCGCTGCTGTCGCTTACCCTCGGTAACCCGCGGGGTTCTTTGAGGGAACTGGGAAGTGGGGTTACCCCACGCTTCATGGTATCCCTCGCTTTCGACGCCACTTCGGTGTTAGGATTTTTGGGATGGAGGGAACCTTCGTTACAAGCCATGGAGGAATTTTCTTATATCGCGTACACGCTCGCCGTGGCGGTGGTATTAGCGTTCGGCCTGGGCGCGTGCGCGTATGCGGCGCACCGGGAGAAGCTGCAGGGAGGGCCCGACTCGCCTGATTTCTTCCTCACTGCGCGCCGATCCGTCAAGACGTCCATGGTCGCATGGTGCGTCGCAGGGAAGGCTACCCCTTCTCACGCTCTCCCGCGCGACCGTCGTGCGCTGCCTCACACCACCCACCTCTCACCTCCCACCGCTGCCCTCCGCGCCCCTCTCCGGGCTGCATGATCTCCCCGTACCGTCCATCCGCTGCCCTTCCTCTCCGCCCCGTCCGTCAGCTCCTGCGCGCAGTTGCTCTGCCCCTCCATTCACACCTTTCTCCACCGCTCTCCACCGCGCGCAGGTCGTTCTTCGCGTCGGCGATGGGGTCGTGGGCGCTGTTTGGGCCGCCCAGCTACTGCCTGACGGCGGGCGCCATGGGCACGCTCGTGTACGCGGTGTGCGCGGGGCTGCCCGTGCTGCTCGTGGCGTGCGTGGGCGCCGCCGTGCACCGCCTCGTGCCGAACGTGGTGTCCATGGCCGACTATGTGCGCCGCCGCTTCGGCCTGTGAGTGCTGCACGGCGCTGCTTCAACTCCCACGGAGGGGGAGGGGTAGGAAGGAGGGTTTTGGGTTTGAACACATGCGAGCGAGATGCGGCGTGTGGTGCGTGGGTGGGAGGGCGAGTGTGTGGGGGGGATCCCGCCCGTGAGGTGGAGTGGAGTGGAGCACGTCCATGGCAAGGCAACACTGGTGACCGCCTCGCCCATGCCATGGCGCGCCCATGGCTCCGGGCTGTGAGGGAGGGAGAGGGGCACAAGGGGCAGAGGTCGAACGCTTTTGGCTCCGAGCCCCAGGTGGTGATGCCCCGTTCTCAGTGCGTCCGGCCTGTGTGTGGCGTTGCTCTGCTGTGGCCGCCATCACTCCACCCGCTGCATGCTGCTCTCGCTCTCCCTCCTCCAACACTCCCGCCCACCACTTGGTGCCGCTGCACACTTCCGTCTGTCCTGTGGCGCGCCTCGTGTCGTCAGCACGGTGGCATGTGCACAGCAGTCACAGACGGGGCGTGCTGTGCTGCCACCTCAACGCACACCATGCGTTTCCTGCCTTCACATTCCCTCCCCCCCCTATCTCTCTGCACCCAACAACATCACGGCAGCCCGTTCGCGGTGTACATATCACTGTTGGCGGTGGGCAACATGGGGGTGGCGATGGCGGCGGAGTACACGGCGCTGGGCGACCTCTTCCACCGCCTGCTGCACGCACCCCGCCTGCCCATCGTCATGCTCACAGCCGCCACCGCCATGCTCTACACCGCTGCCGGCGGGCTCTACGTCTCCATCGTCACCGACCAATGCCAGGCACGCCGCCCGCCCACTGCTCTGCTTCTTACTTGGCTCACTTGCTCTGTCCATTGTGCCCTCCCCTCCACCGCACCCCCTCCCCGCCCCTCCACTCATTCACTCTTCATTTACACTGCCTCCTCTGTCGGCCTCCTCCTCGTCACCTTCCCGTTATCCTCCATCCATCCATTCCTCTTGCCCAAACCTCTCTCCCTCCTGCCCTCCCCCCCACTCCCCCCCAGCAGGCCCTGGCGAGTCTAATCTTCACAGCACTGCTCACGGCACACGTGCTCCTCAACTTCCCCTCGCCACTCCCACCGCTGCCCCCTGCCCTGGGGTGGTCGAACCCGCGGGGGGTGGAGGCGGTGCTCTTCATGCCGCTCTCGCTGCTCGCCACCACGCTCTTCAACGAGGCCATGTGGCAGCGGTGAGATGTGGTGAGATGCGGTCAGAGCCATGTGGCAGTGGTGAGGGCCGTGTTTGCGGCACGTGCGGTCGAATTGCAGCACTGAACAGTAGTAGGCTGACGTGATTCAATGAACGTGAATGAGGAATGTGGGTTCTCACCCACCTGCCACTGCTTCAATTCCTCACCATCTTATCTCTCTTTTCCCCTCCTGTCTCTTGTCTTGTGTCTCTCTCCTGTCTCTCCTCTCATGCATCTCTCCGGGCTACCCCCCTCCTCTCGCACGTTGCTCTCCCCGCCCCCCCCAGCTGCTGGGCGTCAGCGAGCGCGGCGGCGCTGCTGGGGGGAGCAGCGCTGGGAGCAGGTGCCATCACGGCCGTCGTGGGGCTGCTGGGCTTCGCCGGTGAGAGCACTGCTGCCGCCACCCTGCTGGCACCTGCTGCCATGTGCTGCCATGCACCTGCTGCCATGTGCTGCCATGCACCTGCTGCCATGTGCTGCCATGCACCTGCTGCCATGTGCTGCCATGCACCTGCTGCCATGTGCTGCCATGCACCTGCTGCCATGTGCTGCCATGCACCTGCTGCCATGTGCTGCCATGCACCTGCTGCCATGTGCTGCCATGCACCTGCTGCCATGTGCTGCCATGCACCTGCTGCCATGTGCTGCCATGCACCTGCTGCCATGTGCTGCCATGCACCTGCTGCCATGTGCTGCCATGCACCTGCTGCCATGTGCTGCCATGCACCTGCTGCCATGTGCTGCCATGCACCTGCTGCCATGTGCTGCCATGCACCTGCTGCCATGTGCTGCCATGCACCTGCTGCCATGTGCTGCCATGCACCTGCTGCCATGTGCTGCCATGCACCTGCTGCCATGTGCTGCCATGCACCTGCTGCCATGTGCTGCCATGCACCTGCTGCCATGTGCTGCCATGCACCTGCTGCCATGTGCTGCCATGCACCTGCTGCCATGTGCTGCCATGCACCTGCTGCCATGTGCTGCCATGCACCTGCTGCCATGTGCTGCCATGCACCTGCTGCTATTGCCACATCCCTATTTCTTTGCATTGCTGCCTTGTACTGCCGGGTCTGGTCTCCCGCACCGCGCAGGCTGTTTTGCCATGCAGTGGTCACGCGCACTCCTCTCCTCATGCTTGCCTCTCCCAACCATCTCTGCCCCATCCGTCGCAGGTCTGCTAGCAGCGTGGAGCGGTGTGTACGAGCCGGAAGGCCCGGACGACAGCGGCAACACCATCCTCTTCTCGCTGTTCCGCGGGCACCCATGGGCGCTGGTGGCGGTGGCGCTGCTGGCCGTCACCATGAGCGAGTCCGCTGTGGACTCGCTGCAGAACGCCACCGTTGACGCTGTCGCCGCCCTCCTGCTCGCCCACCCCTCCTGCTCTGCCAGCAGCAAGCGCCGCGTGCATGATAAAGAGGGCGGGCAGGGCAGCGTGCAGCGGCAGGAGGAGGCGAGGCTGACACAGGTGCAGTGCACGGAGCATGTGGAGGCAGGAGGTGGTGCGAGAGAGGCATCTCAACCTCAACACACGGACCCATTTCCCCTCGTTCACCGCACCTTGCTAACTCCTTCCTCCTTTCCCACTGCCTGCCCTCTTCTTGCTGGTGCTACCACGGTGCACGCGCCACCTGCCTCTGCCACTCATCCTGATCCCGTCCCATCCGCCTTAGCCCCTCCCCACCATGGGCCTGGCCTCACCATCTCCTCTATCCGAGCCCTCGTTCTCATCCTCAATATACCGCCACTGCTCGTCTCGCTACAAGGCTTCAACGTGCTACAGCTCTTCCTCCTCGTGAACCTCATCAACACCACGTCCTTCCTGCCTCTGCTGCTCGGCGTGCTGCAAGGCCCCCTCTCCCGTGTCTGCATCACCCCTGCATCTTCTGCAACTGGCTGCGCCTCTGGCCTTCTCGCCCTTGTGGTCTGGGCCAAGTCACAACAGCGCCCCGGGGAGACCTATGTTGAGTCTTTGGCTCGGACGTTTCTAGACGCGTACGATTATCCTCCCTATCTGATTGCTGTAGGGTTTTCCGCTGTGGGGATGGCTGTAGGTGCGGGTGTAGAGTGGGTGGTCCGGTGGTACTGTAGATTAGAGTACCCTGCCTATGACCTGGATGATGGTAAAGAAACAGACTTTGAAGAGTCCCGGACGTTGTTAGGTAACTTGAGTACGTAGGTTTTTTGAAGTCGTTATCTTCATGTACCACCATACCATAGGATCTTCACTTGAGGAACCCAGGTAAAGTGCAAGGTTCGGTTAGGGCCACCCCTGCAGCTGGAGCGGAGAATTTACCGTGCCGACTTTGCCAAGAAAGGAGAATGTGTATTTTGGTAAGTTCTCATATTTATGATGAAATGTTGTAATAATCATTTTCGTTATTGACAACTCTGTGCACTCGCTTCCTTCACAGTTTTATAACATGGTGAATATCGCGGCGTGCACCGCACGCAACACCCCTTCATCCTCCTGCCGTGCGCCTTCAGCCGAATTGCGCGCTCCCCTCAAGCCGCTCTCCCCGCTCACCCCATCTCCGCTCCCCCGTCGACTTCGAGTAACTGTCGCGGCAGCAGTTGCTACGCGCAAACTCGCTCACCTGTCACCATTCCGCCAATCGCGGCGTATGCTTCTGCTTTGATGCATGCAACGCTTACGCCAGCATGACGGCAGTCTGACGCCAGCACAGCACCCATCATACCTCCTTCATCCCAACCTGGGGATTTCCCAGATTACTAGCGAGTGGCGTTCCTAGTACTGACAGCTTGTGTATATGTTGTACATGTAGAAGCGGACTAATACAATTCCCCTGACAGACGCGTAGCAAATACCAACAACGACCTCGCCGTGCATACAGCCCCTATCACAGACGTTCCTGCTGTTCTCACACGCCGACCGCCCAACGGTCCTCCACCTGCTTGCGCGTCGCCCAACGGTCCTCCACGTGCTTGCGCGGCGCTTGTCCGCAGATCGAGTCAACATGGGTTTCGTTCCCGAAGGTACGCGGACAGCCGTCGATAGCTATCCGCGTGAAGCATCGCCACTCATCATTTCGCTCCAATCGCGCGCTTCCGTCTCTTGTTAAACGGGACAACAATTCTGTCAACGTGTCGTCACGTTAACTGTTTCCGTTTACGTCCGTCTCTCTCGTGTGCGTTGTCTAGCAGGTCCGTCGGATTCCACGCCGCTTAAGCCACAGAGCGAGTCGTCCGAAGCTCCCCCGCACGGCGGCGCAGATGCCGCCGCGAGCCACGCGCCGGCCTCCGGCCTACCCGCCTTTCAGTACGCCCACCACCCGCACCACCCCCCCGCGCGCGGGGCGTATCCGCCGCAGTTCCCGCCTCCCCCGGGCTGCCCGTCCGCCGTGGTGGTGGTGGCGCACGGGGCGAGCGGCGGCGAGTTCCCCGTGTTCTCGCCGGCTCCCATCCCCGGGCTCTACATGCTGCCGCCGCGGGTGCCGCCCTCGCCGGATATGGTCATCCTCGGCTACGAGACCTGCGCGCCGCCTGTGAGTCGCGCGTCACCCACCCGCCGGCTGCTCATTTCCTAGGATCAAGTCATTGGTGCGTTTGAGTCGTTTGAATCGATTAGACGCGTTCGCATGAACTCGCCCACCTAGTGCATGCAAGAGTGGACGGCCCACCTAGTGCATGCAAGAGTGGACGGCCCACCTCGCCGTCATCACAGCACCACCTCCCACCCTCCCCATGCTCGCCCGCACAATACGTTCCCGTTTCTCCCTCGCCTCACGTATGCCTGGCGCGCCATCCCTTTTCTCCCCTTCGCCCCACCAGACGGGGTGCTGTGCGACGGCGACGCTGAGCGGCGTGGGGTGGCTGGCGGCGATCGTGGCGTTCATCTTCTGCTGGCCGCTCACCTGCCTGCCCTGCTGCATCCCGCAGCTGCACGAGGTACGCCTCATCCCGCAGCTGCAGGAGGTACGCCTCATCCCGCAGCTGCACGAGGTACGCCTCATCCCGCAGCTGCACGAGGTACGCCTCATCCCGCAGCTGCACGAGGTACGCCTCATCCCGCCGCTGCACGAGGTACGCCTCATCCCGCCGCTGCACGAGGTACGCCTCATCCCGCCGCTGCACTGTCACTCTCGTGTTGCTGTCGCCCTCTTTTGCCACATCCCCTCGCGCGCCACTCCCATGCATTCCACAGTTGAATGAGAGGAGGCTTACACTCTCCTCACACCCCTTGCACTCTCCTCACACCCCTTGCACTCTCCTCACACCCCTTGCACTCTCCTCACACCCCTTGCACTCTCCTCACACCCCTTGCAACCTCCACCGCTTATGCACTCCCACACACATGCACGTGCGCCCACACTCTCATACCTGCTCGTCACCCACCCCCCCTCCCCCCCACCCTCTTTTGCCCCCCACAGAGGTGCCAGCGCCCTGTGTTCGGCTACCCTCCTGCTGATCCCGCCCCTGGCTTCCCCGCAGCCCCTCTCTGACAGTCGCAGCCCCTCTCTGACAGTCGCAGCCCCTCTCTGACAGTCGCAGCCCCTCTCTGACAGTCGCAGCCCCTCTCTGACAGTCGCAGCCCCTCTCTGACAGTCGCAGCCCCTCTCTGACAGTCGCAGCCCCTCTCTGACAGTCGCAGCCCCTCTCTGACAGTCGCAGCCCCTCTCTGACAGTCGCAGCCCCTCTCTGACAGTCGCAGCCCCTCTCTGACAGTCGCAGCCCCTCTCTGACAGTCACAGCCCCTCTCTGACAGTCGCAGCCCCTCTCTGACAGTCGCCTCGCCTTCTCCCTTGACTGTCTCCGCTCGCCGCCACCCGCTGTGGCTCACCAACCTCCTGCTGCACCTCCCCCACGCCTACCTGCTGCTGCACCTCCCCCACGCCTCCATCTGCCTCGCCCCACCCCCACGCCTCCATCTGCCTCGCCCCACCCCCACGCCTCCATCTGCCTCGCCACCCCCACGCCTCCATCTGCCTCGCCCCACCCCCACGCCTCCATCTGCCTCGCCCCACCCCCACGCCTCCATCTGCCTCGCCCCACCCCTCATGCCCCGCCCATGACAAAGCTGCCCGTGTTGTTGATGCACGGGTGGTGGACTGCCATGATTCCTGCTCACTTGATTAGCTGCCTTGTGTTGTGCATGAGTGCATTCTCCCATGCTCACCTGGCTGACAGAGTCCATGGAATTCTCTGCACTCATGCATGAAGCAGCCGATGCACGGCGTTGCCTCTCTTGTGAATTGCCGTGCCTGAAGGTGCCTCTTGCTTGGCATGGTGCTGCCACACTTGCACAAGCGTGGCCCACATTGTAAATATCTCACCAGTCCAAGAAGCACAACTCGTAGGCTGTAATTCTTTGAGCTGTTGGATGGATGTTGACTAACGGAGTAACATTCCTCCCAAGAGTCCAGTCTAACCATCACACAACCAGTGGCTCGGGGTTTGGGGTTGGGTCATCATGACACCTGCTGCATTGCATTTTAGCCCTGTAAATGCTAGTGCCATTATAACCGCGGTCCAAGGATGTTCCTCAAACACACTACCGCATTTTCACTCACTATCCACACACACACCCACAGCATAAACCGTGCAGACCCAAAGTGTGCAGAGAGGCTCCGCCAAAATATTGTTTGCCTCGTTGCACTGTACTGGAGCGCAGTGCAAGGACCTTCAGACAGTCACCGCATTCTCACTCAACGTTCCACACGCTGCACCAGCGCCATCACGGCAGCACGGGTCACAGAGTGCTCATGTCGCGGAAGAGCTGGTGCATGAAGGCATTGATGCGCGCGTCACACTCTGCCTGCACCGCCGCCACCCGCGCCACCTGCGCCGCTTCCACGGCGCGCATGGCCCGCACTGCGCGCTCCTCCTCCCGTCTGCTCTCCTGCACGGCGCGCATGGCACTGGCTGCCACGCCCCTCTGCTGGCGCCGCAGCTCCGCCTTGATGCCGCGCTTGCCCTCGTACAGCCCCATGGCCCGCAGCCCCCCCCGCACCGTGCCCCGCAGGGACGAGCCCGCCTCCGCTGCACCGCCACCACCACTTCCCACTGCCACCCCTGCTGCTGCCTCACCCTCTGCCACTGCTGCCGCTGGTGGTGGTGTTGCTGCCACTGCTGCAGCTGCTGCTGCTGATGGTGTTGGTGCAGCTGGTGCTGCTGGTGCTGGTGCTGCTGCTGCTGCTGCTGCTGCTGCTGCTGCTGCTGCTGCTGCTGCTGCAGACTCTGTTCTCGCTGCTACTACTGGTGGTGCTTGTGCAGGTTGTGCTGGTGGTCTTACCGCTGCTGCCACAACCACTCTGCGTCGCTTCCCCTCCACCTGTTGGGGAGTCACAGGGACTCCCGTGCCTCTCCTCTCTACCCGCTCTGCGCCCTGCACGTGCACGCCCCCCTCACCACCACCACTCCCCTGCACCTCTCCTCGCTGCACTCCCACTCCGCCTTCCACTCTGCCTTGCACGTCCGCACCTCGTTCCTCGTCTTGGCCTCTCCTTCTCTTCTTCCTCCCTCCCTTCTCCGCCACCGCACTGCATGCAGCGAACTTGCCTGCCACATCCCTCACGGGCTGCCGGGGAGGACGCGGCCGCGAGTCAACGGGCCTGCCCCTCACATCTCCATCTCTCACCCGCTCCTCCTCACTTCTCCCCGCTCTTCCCCTCTCCTCACTTCTCCCCGCTCTTCCCCTCTCCTCACTTCTCCCCGCTCTTCCCCTCTCCTCACTTCTCCCCGCTCTTCCCCTCTCCTCACTTCTCCCCGCTCTTCCCCTCTCCTCACTTACCCGTCCCTTCTCACTACCCGTATCTCCTAGTGTTCCCTTCCTGCTGACCCTCTCCTCTCCACCACTCCCTGCCTCACTCACGCTCTCCACGTCCCTGCAGCCCTCCACACCTGCTCGCTCATCAGCCCTTCTTCCCCCCACACCACCTCGCCCTTTCTGCTCCTGTCTCGTCCTCCCCCCACCGCCCTCACTCCCCCTCTGCCTCAGTCTCTTTCTTCCCTCCTCCACCTCTTCCTTCATCTCCCCCTCCAGCCCATCGGACTCGCTCTCACTCACCCCAGCCTCTTCCCTCACCACTTGCTCAATCACCCGCACACTCCCATTCTCTCTCCCTCTTGTCCGCCTCACACCCTGACCACCCTCCGCCCCTCCCTGTCCGCGTTGTCGCTCACGCCAGTGCATGCGCCCACCATGCAGTGCGCCCGCACGCGTCACACCGTGCCTGCCGCCTTCGCCTGCCATGCCGCCCTCCTCCGCACCTGCTTCCTCCGCCCTGCCACCTGCATCCATCGCCCTGCCGCGTGCATCAAGCGCCGCCTTCTTCTCCCCTCCCTGCCCCCTTGCTCGCCTCCTCACTCTCTCCTCCCGCTCCCGCAGCCGTCTCTCTCTCAATCCATCACGTGAGTGCGCCGCACCGCCCGCCGCCCTCCGTGCCGCCTCTGCAGCCTCAGCTGCCTCGGCCAACCTGCTCCTCCGCCGCAACTCGCTGGCCTGCCGGTCGCGGCGGCGCAGCACGAGTGCATCCGCACGCTCTACCTGTACCCTCGCCGCAGCAGCAGGCGCAGAGGCATGGGGAGCGATGTAGGTGGCAGCAAGGAGGGCGCATGCCTGAAGGGGAGTGGTGAGAGAAACACCCGGAAGGAAGGGGGAAGGGGGGGGCGTGGGAGGGGGTTGGAGCATGCAAAGAGGGATTTTGGGCATGATGATGGGGTGTTGGGGATAGTTGAGAGTGGGGATGCATGAAAGAGGCCAGTGTGTGACGTGAAACACATGCTTTTCTGTCACACCACTCACCGAGTCGGGTGCCCACTCAGCTCGATGCTGCACGCGGGCCAGCCGGGGCAGCACCACCACCCTGCTCGCTGCAACACCGCGCACCTCTCCAACCTGCTCCCCCGCCACCTCGGCCTCCTCGCAGCGGTCGAACCCCGCCACGGCCAGCAGCTCCTCCAGCCCGTCGCTGCACTCGCCGCCGTCGCTGCTGCCCCCCTCGTTATCATCGCCACCATGGCCCGTCTCCTCATTCGTGCGCGCACCCCCTTCTCGCCGCCCCTCTGCGCCTTCAACCACTCCATTCCCCGCTTCCACGTCCCCTTCCCTGCCTGCTCCGCCATCTCGCCTTGCGCCCCTTTCCCCCGGCCAGCGCCCCCTCCCCACGCGCCCACCCCTTCCTGCGCGCCTCCGCCTCCTCCGCGCCCTCTCCTCGCTTCGCCCCGCCCTCCCCCGCGCCACCACTGCGCCCGCCTCGCGCGCGCGCAGGAACGCCGCCACCACCCGCCGCCCCTGCTCGCTCTCCCCTCCTCCGCCCTGCCCCGTGCTGTCGCTGTCACCCGCCTCGCCAGCGCACCTCACGGGCAGCCAGCAGCGCCCGCCAGCAGCAGCGGCCGCCTTGAGCAGCGCCAGCAGGTGGCGCGCGCGGAGTCCCGCCTCGCCCTCACTGCCTGCGCGCTGCTCGCCCCGCCCCCCGTCATTTCCACCCGCCTTCTCCCCTTCCCCTCCCTCTCCTTCACCTTTCTCTCCTCCCTCTCCCTCCCCTTCCTCTCCTTCCCCTTCCACTTTTTTTTCTTCCCCTTTCTTCTCTTCCCCTTTCCCTTCCCTCCTTTCCCCTTCTCCTTCCCCTGCCCCCCGTTCCTCTTCCTCTTCCCGTTCCCGCGCTGCAGCGAGCGCGTTCACGCCAGGCAGCGACAGCCCCGCCCCTCCGCCAGTCGCCTCCACTTGCGCGGGCGCTGTGCGCGCCTCGCCCGCGGTGGCACCAGCGGGAGCACGTGCAGGGTGCGGCGTCGCCAGTGCCGAGGGCGTCGCCAGTGCCGAGGGCGCGCCATGGGCGTCAGCAGCTCCACTCGCTCCTTGCGCCTGCTCCGCCCTTTCCCTCTCCACCTCCCCCCCTCTCGTTTCCGCCCCCCTCGTTTCCGGCCCCCTCGTTTCCGCTCCCCTCGTTTCCGCCCCCATAGTTTCCGCTCCCCTCGTTTCCACCTGCCCCGTTTCCGCCTCCCTGCTTTCCGCCTGACCCGTTACCGCCCGCCTAGTATTCGCCTCACCAGTTTCCGCCTGCGCGACTTCCGCGTGCGGCGCGTCCGCGAGCCACTCGGCGCCGGCCACGGGGAGCAGCTCGCCCAGCTGCGCCTCGTCGCGCGCCTCCTCGCCGCTGCTCGCCTCCTCGTCGCTGCTGCGGCCGCCGAGCCATTCCGCGTCACCACCCGCACCCGCACTACCACCCCACTCACACGGGTACCCGCCTCTCCCACCTCCATTCTGCCCGTGCCGCGTGCTTACTATCCGGTTCATCCGCGATTCGCCCGTAGCACGCGTGCGCCTCGTAACGCTCGCCCGCGCCTCTCGCGCGCCAAGAAACGTTTCAACCATTCTTCGCCTCGCCTTCTCCGCGCTTTCGCCAACAATTTCACCAGAGCTCGCCAACGGCGTGGAACAACTACGAAGGAACGCAAGAAGCTGGCGCGACGAGATCACATTTTCGCAGCGTCTAGAGCCCTCTTCGTCACCACCGCCTTCCGCATCGCAGCTCGCGCGGACCTCGTCGCGACAGCGCGCCTGACTCATTGAAACCGCCGCCCTCTGAAATGAAGCTCTTCTGTTTCAGCTGGGTGCCTGCCTGGCCTGTCCCTTCGCCTCCCTGTGGGCGGTAGAGGCGAGAGAATCGAGGAGCGCCGGGAGTGGTGCATGTCGCCACGTAGCGCAACCAGATTGCTTTGACTAACCAATCGTAGGCTGCAGCTGGGATTGAACTAAACGACAGGTTCGCTTTAGAGCGTGCTCATGAAGGTCATAATACGTGGAGGTTTTCTTCTTCGGTTGGGTAGCAAACCTGTATATTCCATTTCACAATTTGCTGATGCCATTTCAACTTTCCTTACTACACTCTTTGAACACAGTTTTGATAGGCACACTGCTGTACACAGCCAACATTCCAGGAATCCTAGCCATACACAAAAATTAGCTGGTGATTGTATGAGCCATCCATGTGCATCACAGCGGCCAGTGGAGTTGAGAGCATGATAGTGGTGGAGGCAAGCACGGCGATGCGGGTGATGGTGCTGGCTTCGAGGTGACATGGTGGGTGGGAAGAGTGCGAGGGGGAGAAGTCAGGGGCGGATGGGTAGCAGGCGGGGTGGAGAGGATGAATGGTTAGGGAAGCGGGGAAGGCAGTGGGGCTGGGGCATGAGGTGGCAGTGGCATTGAGGCACATGACGAGAGGTAGTGAGTGGAGGACGGCCCTGTGCGTCGTAATGCATGCCACCACAAGTCTTGTTGCAATCTCAGTGCATATGGCATGGCATGGTCTGGCATGGCACGGCACGGCCACACAGCCCATGCAGGGGGCATCACCACCGTGCCGCACCTGCCGTGTGGCACGGCCTCAGGTGGCGCAGCGCAGGCAGGCTCACTGGTCCGTGCGCGCGTTCATGACGCGGTACGACAGGTCCACGGCCGCCGCTGCCATGCATGCACGCAGGGAGGGAGGGAGGGAGGGAGGGAGGGAGGGAGGGAGGGAGGGAGGGAGGGGCACACGAGTGTGAGGGAGTGGGAGAGGGCACGTGGCAGCACAGCATGGAAGGCGGCACGCACAGCACTGGCGATTCACGCCAGCAACAAACGCTGTGCGGTGGGATGCGTTTCTCAATGCCGGTGCTCTTGCTGCAATGCCAGCTTGCAATGACCTGCACAGACAAGCTCATAGGCCGGCGAATGATGCTCGCACCCGGCACGACAAGCATGAATATCAAATCGGCCTGCCACGTGATCAGGCAGCCACGTGCTGAGGGCTGCTGCCACGTCATCACGGTGCAGTACCTGCGAGCACGAGCGCCGTGACGGCGTTACCAACGGTGTTGCAGGCGGCCATGGCGGCCTTCTGCGGGTTGTACTTGCG